CCCCCATAGTTTCTCCCACCCTCGTCCTTACCCCTAATAGCCCTTGCTACGCAGGCTAGCAAAAGGAGTGGGGATTTTTTTATCGTAAACCATCATATTGGTAGTTAAAAATATTCACGTACTAACAACATGAAATATTCACGACTAAATTATTTGCTATTTGTAGGCTGTGTTAGGCGAGGCGACAGAAGTACTACCTCTATACAACAAACGAACATCTCAAACGTACTCTGAAGTGAAACAATCTGTAAATCAAATGAAAGACTGGTCATCTTCAAGTTATTATGACGGACATGGCCACGGCTATTTGAGAGGAAATGCATACAAAGTACGCCGTTATAGTACTATGGTATAGCACACTGAACAATTTAATATAGGGAAGGGGATCTTAATCATTTTAATACTTGATCACAATCAATCGTGGCAGTTATAGTGTACTGTGAATATTTGAAATTACAGTATTTATTTCGTGTATATCGGTCCTTGTGCACGTGTATGTATGTATGTATGTATGATATGAATATTTTATTCAAATTCATAATTCCAGTAGGCAGTAGACATAAAGATATAGCGAATAGCTTTAGCTAATCTGGGGGGATTGTGTGGATAACTATATATATATACATAAATATTATAGCGGTGATAATTAATAAGCTTTATGTGATTCATAATTATTATATACTATTCGAGACGTAATATTTTTCAGAGCTTCACCAGTGAGCTCAATGCATTGTTAAGGACCATTTCCACTCAGGAAAATTTTCCGCGGAAAGAAAATTTTGTGAAATATGATTGGTCAACACAAATTTTCCGTCGGAAAAAAAATTTGAAGTTGAAAATTTTCAACTTTTAACAATGACACTTTCGGAAAATTTTCTGTCCGTGGAAATTTTTCTTGAGTGGAAATGGGGCTTAACAGTTAGAAAAATAGAAATGCACCAAGTTCACTAGATATGTCAACATAATCATCTCCAACCTCCAAAAGGAGCAGACGTAAACTACGTATCTTGCTATTGAAGTTTGATTCGTTTTCGACATTTAATTGCAATACTATTTCATATCATTACTCCAAGCTTTGCAAAAGATACCATATTTAGATTCAGATGTATGTACGTGTAAACTACTATCGTAATCTACCGTTCTGAAGAAAGACCATATCCACAAAGAAATTAGTTTGAGTCGCATCATTTTGTAGATCAATTAGAACAGAGCATGAAAAACGACAAGGAATCTTACCACATTTAGCTCAGGCATCATACTGTACAAATGTGTACATGTTTTAGGCAATTTGATAAATGCGTATCACTATTACGAACATGTTCACTCCCCTTCATATTTCTGCCTTTCACAAGACCAGCTTGGAGGGGGGGGGGATGTTGCCGCTATCCATGCATGCACAGGGTTCCATGCTTTATCACAACGTCGAAGTCATCATATCCGTTCTTTGTTATTCGAAATAAAAATTGCCGCACTATATGCACGATGAAAAAGGAGGGAGTAGGGTCTAAAATTGGCTGGTTTTGCTGTAAACGTACCTTAATTGATATGCATTTATCTATGATAACAAAGGAAGCCAACACAAAGTTTTGTTTATTTTTAATCATGTTTAGATTTGGAGATTAAATACATGAAATGAAGTAGTAATTATTGATTTAAATATATCTTTTTTTACAAAAGAAGCTATCGATCAAACTAAGGCTACATTTGCACTATACCGGATGGCTTTCCGTGGCAGCGTAAAAAAGCAGCTATCCGATACGGAATGTACAACTTTCAGAAGCTGAGCGAAACAACATCTCTCCGTTGTTGCAATATAATTCCTCCAAAAATAGCGTTCCTTGTAAAGTGTACGGATAGGTGTTTTTTCACGTCGCTACTAAAGCTATCCGGTGCAGTGTAAATGTAGCTAAAATCAGGGCGGTTATAAGATATATCTTATAACCGCCCTGCCACATGTGATGAATTTAGGTGTAGAGTATGCAAGAGGATGATAACAGCTGTTCTACGAATACGAGTTTCATCATATAAGCTAAAAAATAACTGATCTTTATTAATTTTAATCAATTTTGCCTACTGCGTGTTTTCCAATTTATAATGGGATATATGCTTCTAAGGATATAGGATATAGGCCTAACTCAAATTTAATGCAGTCTTGTGAGTCCGCTTTTTTGCACCTTGTATCCTTCAACCTCGTTCCCACGCTATTCAAGGAGAGAGCCTGGGAACGACGTTGTGCACATAGGGATAAAAAAGAATAGAGAGGAATTCTTTATAGCTCGATATCAACCATCTCGCATACTGTTTAACTAATTTTCATAAAATAAGAAAATAACATATATTTTATTTAAAAATACATTAAACGATCATTTCAAACAAGAATGACAGCAGTGCGTAAATAAGCAATGTTAGCAAATGACCGATATCACCGTTAACACTGATTGCGAAGAATAGCAGCATTAGGGAAATTTCGGTATCCATTCACTATGTATTGACGAATATATAATTTACAGGGCGGAACTTTTCATGTGCCGAAACTAATGCATCTGAGCTCAAACAATATAGAGTTTAGGTCATACACATCATTAGATTCGGCTATACCTATTGTTTATACTTTTTGGTAATAATATCAAACTATACTTATAAAGCAAAAGTACATATCTACTGTTATTTTACACTACACAACTCTTTAAATTACCGTAGGGGGTTGTATTTTGCACGAATATATATATATTACGATAATATACTTTAGATCAGATGACTTTGTAATTTTATGATTCACGAATATTTAATGTATTATGTGTAATTAAAGTGGCATTCAGCCTGAGTACACAGTACTGGCACTTGTTTTAGGGTAATGTCACAGAATAGAGACATACAGATTACAGAAGGTCAACTCTGCTTGGTTTTGCCTATGATTTTGACGTAACTGTTGCAATGCTGTCGCCATGGCCCTAGCCAGTGCGCTCATGAGAGGCATTCACCCCCTGAAAATATTCAAAATGGCGGACGTTCAGGGGGGATGGCGACAGCATTTTGATGACGAATCATGGAGTGCAGTTCATAGATATCTTATATACACTAGATAGTGCATCTAATTATTCTGCAATTCAAAAATTGAAGCCGTGATTGCAGACTCAGGATATTCCCATGAAATGAGAAGATTTGTATGTTTTCTATTTCTTAAACAGGGAACTTAAACATTAAGTTAAACCTATTCCAAATACATTTCCAAACTATTCAAATGATGAAAGTTATTGCTGTTTTTTAAGCGTTTATTAGCGAGTTGGAAGCTCCAACATGGCCGCCATCTATTCAAATGGGGGTAACCGCTGGAATATTCTTGGCTTCAATTTACTAAAAGAGATGCGCTATCTAGTGTATATAAGACATCTACGCAGTTACGCTTCTCTGGTTGAGCCGACCTTCTGTATGTCTCTTACTCTATTCTGTCACAGAGTAGAGACATACAGAGACGTAACTAGTGTACCCACTTTTTTTGTGCGCATGCTCGGCAAGTTACTAGATGCATGCATTTGATTGGATGACGACCTGATGACGACTTACTTTAAACTTGCTGAGCACGCGCAGTTGATCAATTTGCGGCCGGTCGCCTGAAAAAAAGTGGGTACATGATAACGTAATCTTCCGCAGTGTTTACGACGGTCAGTTACGTCTCTGTATGTCTCTACTCTGTGATTCTGTGGTAACGTCCCTATTTCCCGCATGTCCCGTGGTTTCCAAATCCTGATCTTAATCCTAACCAACAGCGAAACATGAATCCATAGCCTGTTTCAACGGGAAGAGGTTATTTCGCTGGCCTCAGAGTGACAAAACGTAACAAAGCACCATGATTGCTATGACAAGTGTTAATCGAGATTCACTAAGAACTCGAATTCTTAGGAAATACAGCACCTTAAATACATGTATACATGTATACAGGTTTAAATCATTACTCACGTGCTAGAATAGCATATAAACTGAATGGCAATCGTACTTATTCGATTTTGCTATATGACATATCTATGCAGCACAATTTACAATATTGATTACTTCTAAATAATTTCCGAAATTTACTAAACTACTTCATCTAAAATCAACTATCTACACTATGTACATTTTCTTACTGTATTAGAAACACCGTAGGTTCGGATTAATTTACTCTCGACTTCAATTTGCTTTTGAAATCTGACTTCGAATGTTTGTTTATAAATTCGGAATGTTCCGATGATTTACGATGATCAAGATTTGTAAGTTGTGATTGGCTAGTTAGATAAGCCAGCCAATCAAATTGCTAACAGCTAACTATTGAATCGTCGTAAATAATCAGAATGAACTTCAAAACGAATTTCGGAACTTTGCAACGAACATTCCGAATTCGAAGTCATATTTCAAAAGCAAATTGAAATCGAGAGTAACAATAAAATACCCAAATGACGTATAACAAATTTTTGATCATGAATAGTTAATAACAGTCTTAGATTTGAACATATAATCACAGTCATTTAGCGTAAAAATTGCCTGAAAGTAGGTAATTATAAGTGAAAACCATAAGCTTACTACTTTTGCATGAATAAAGAGACCCCTTCATCCAGGGTATTGCCCATATTACGCTAAAACAAAACATGATCAGAGATGCATTTCTGCTCTTTTTACTTGGAGAGTTGGTTTTTTTATCTAGGAGAACTATAAGCATCTATATCAAATATAAGACTGTGTTAACTAGTGATAAGAATGCAAACGTTTTCAAAAGCACGAAAGAGAGCGAGCATGCTAATGAAATGAAGGAAAGGTGTATAAGTCTAGCTAAGACATTAAAAGAGATAAAAGTTGGCAGTCAAGCGAAATCGAGGGTTGAATCTCCTTCATGTTTATACTAAAACTCGAAACAACTATTTTACCAATTTAGAATGTACTTAGCCTCTTCCCCAGGTATCTCCTAGTTTGACCGGCAGTGAAATATTTGATTATGGCCAGCCCAACAACTGATGAGATTCCTGTGAAGGAGGCTAGATTAACGTATTTTACTTACCAACAGACATTTACCGTAACAGATCAAAAGATCCAAACATGATAACGCTTGTAAAAGCATTATTTTCCGGAGTTATCCCGAAGATTCAGCAGAACTGGGTAATGTGGGAGATGTGATGGTCTCTGAAACACGTGAATGCATCTTTGACATCGCTCCTACTTGTTGTTTTGTATAGTAATATTCAAATGAATAAGCTAACCGAAGTCGCGACCATTGTAATGGCTCACTAGTTGACCAACTGGTTGTGGCTTGGGTTACTTCTTCTTGAATAGCGATATGTTTAGAACGTAATTCTTGGAAAATTGAGATCTGGTCGGAATTCTCGACACTCGAATCTCCAGAATTCACCTCAGTATCTGTGTCTTGCTCTGGTTTCTCCTCGTCCTCGTTTGCCTGGGAGGAAAATTTAACTCAATTAGCCCTGACAGGCCGAGATGAAGGGGACAACTTCCCCCGAGTCCTCGTTTTGAGTGTATGCTGAAAATTGTTGAGGCACCCAACGTGATATTTAGGGTCTTTATTGAGGAATGCTTTCAAATATAGCACTGTTTCTATTCTTGGGTTTCACAATGGCATTATGCAGTGAATGGGGGGTCAACCTCAAATGTGTTGATGCTAATGCTGTACTGGAGTGAGAAAATGATATGAAATTCCATGTATTTTCCACCGAACACAAGGCTAATACATAAAACGAACAATCGACTCACTCTGATAACTGTATTTTGTTTTAGAGCCGTTGACCCTGTTACACGGTGCAATTTTAGAGTTGACCATGTTACACGGTGCAATTTTTCTTGCAACTTGCAATGCAATTCTACTCTTGAGAGATGTAAAATTGCCAAATACGAGTCTTCATTACACTCCGCTGATGTTTTCTCAACATATCGAAAATTCTTCACTGATTTCACTAATTAACATCTCTCAAGAGTAGAATTGCATTGCAAGTTGCAAGAAAAATTGCACCGTGTAACGTGGCCTTAAAACACGTGTCAATGTTTACGGTACACCCAGTTACCCAGCGTGCAGTAATTTTCACCAAACCACACGACCACATATGATAGGTGACTTTCATCCTGTACTAGCAAAACTGAAGTATAACTAACCTATTTGAACACTTTTGTAACGGGTTATCATATTTGTATTTCACAAGGTGTTTCATGCATTTATCTTAACAAACTAGTCCAAAAACCATGTATCTTGAAATTCAAGACTTGATTCGAAATGAGACAAGCATTTAAACTGTAAATATTCGAATATTATTTCAAAGTCTGTTGATGACTTTGAAATAAAGTCGAAAATTTACAATTTACTGTCGTTCCAATTGAAGTGTTGCTCAAATATTGATTCAATACATTACCTCGGGCTGACCAATTCATTTCATCAAGTTCCTCGAAATATTCATACACTTCCTAGTATAATTGTAAACTTCCTGTTGAATAGTTTGAATGCACCAATCACTTTTGTTGTTTGTGCAACTAACCAATCATAAATAGAAAGGAAGTGACCAGAAATGATCAAATACTTGGAATTGGCTCTTTCACAGGAAGTGTATGAATATCTCGAGAAACTTGATCAAATGTATTGGTCAGCCCGAGGTAATGTATTGAATCAATATTTGAGCAACACTTCAATTGGAACGACAGTAAAAGCTCGTCTTGTTTTCATTCAAATCTTGAATTTCAAGATGAAATTAATCTTCGGCGTTTGTTTCTTTTAACGAATTAGGCCCGTTTCATACGTCGCACTATCGTCGAATTTAATTCAGACGAATTTAATTGAACCAATTAAATGCGACGTTAGTGCGTCGTATGAAACGAATTAAATCCGTCTGATGAATTAAATTCGTCCAAGACGTTGTATCCGTCATGGTCAGACGAATACAACGTCTGTAGCGCGTCTTCGTTTCATACGACGTGTTATCGTCGTGTCGAATTAAATGCATAAATTATGTTAAAGTCTGTTTCTCTCTTTCTGGTCTCGTGGTTTTTTACTTCTGGGTAATCCATGATCGCTAAACATGAAATGAATTCGTCTGAATTAAATTCGTCGTTTGAAACGAAACCATTTTAGTGTCGACCAATTGACGAATTTAATAACGAATTAAATTCGTCTGAATTAAATTCGACGTATGAAACAGGCCTTAGATCATTGTCCAGGGAATCTTTATCGTTAAAGAATAATCTTATAATAGAATAATTATAATAATATACTGTAATTTAAACGAACGGCCTCATATTTCAAACCTTCTATAACAACTGCCTAACAAAGATAAAGAAGAAAGTATACCTGACTGGCAGTAGAAGATAACTCTTCTTGATTACAAGATTCACACACAAAGATCAACTCATCATCATTTTGAACTCTGTTGTATGTGTCTTGATCTACTTCCGCACATGTCATGTGCAACCACCTAACAAGTAATCATAGTCGTCAGTATGCTCATCGACAACAACAACGACGACGACAACGACGACAACGAAAACAACGACGACGGCAACAACAACGATGACGACAACGACGACAACGATGACGACAACGATGACGACAACGAAAACAACAACGAAAACAACAAACGACGACAACAACGACAACGACGACGACAACGACGATGACGACAACAACAACGACAACGACAACAATTCAACAACCGCTTTTATACACCATCGGTTGCTCCATCAATATATTTCATTTTCAATCAACTGAAAAATCGTGAGGAAGATGTATTATAAACGAATGTTAGAGCACTTACTTTTTACAAGTATCACATTGTACGGCAACAGTGGCAGACGAAGGAGGACAAAAACCTTTATTACACAATGGACAACGACCTCTACTTTTTAACGTTTGACATTCATCGCACAACATGTCTTCATTTCCTTTCACTGGTATTTGGGCATTGGGAATACGTTTGCCACAACTTTGACACCTACGACATTTCTAAAGTACAGTATTGCAAATATTGAAGAGAATATAAAAAAAAAAAATCCAGTTGAACCAGTAACATGAAACGGCCAGCAGAATGAATTGTTCAAGAAAACCTGGGTATTTAAGAGCAAGCCTGAAAATAAGCGGCCAGACACGGACACTGTCCGACACGAAAAAAGCAAATGTCCGGCAAAATGCTTTTCTCACTGGACAGTATGTCTGGTACAGTGTGATACTGCATAATTAAATTGATGAAAAGTGAAAGATACATTAAATACTGTTAATATATGATTATCTATTTTAGAAAGTAGCTATACAGTGCACACTGTAGTATAAATTAGTTTTTCGAAAAGCCAGTCATGAAAGTTTTGTGTGAAAACTTCCTATCACGACAAAATTTGCCCCAGTCTCTTTTTTGCGCTTGCTGCCGGACCACATGTAAATATATGTTTGCATTTTCAATAGTGTCTAAAATTATTATTATTATTATTATAACATTCCAATTTTAGTGATGTCCGGCACTAAGTGACTAAGTGCTGACAAAGTGTACTGAAAAAAATGTATCGACATTACGAGCAAGGCTATTCTTGACTTCGTCAAGAGGATAGTGCTTTGCTACTGGTTCCCCACGTTTAGAAGGCTTTGTATTGGCAGGTATATATAAGGGCTAAATTATAAACTGGAGCAATAACATTACCTTGCATTGCCAGACTGCAGCAAACTGATCAATTTGTGGATTTCTACCTTCCTCAATACATGAAAGATGGTAGCCCCGGTCACAACTTCGACATGTTAATGATCTCTTCACTTCAATCAAGTGCCTGTAATATCAGTGTGAAAATTTGTTAAAATATACAATAAAGATCAAATGGTACCAAAATGAAGCCTATAATCTAAATATTGTTTATTATCTTCAGCAGTGAAATACAAGAACTTGCACAAAAATCACACAAGTGTGTTCCTACATTTCTGAGGCTGGGAGAGAACAAGAAGCAATGTTGTAATTCATGGCTGAGGAAGCCTAGGTACATCGTTTCCATTCATAGCAGGTTCAGCTAACGTCCCTGACTAATATTCAATTGCAAGTATCGATTTGTGAAATGCGACAGTATTGGATATGCATGATATATTTACCTGCAAACCTGACATCTCTTGCATCGCCTACATTCCCAGCCCAGTCTTACAGCAGGTGTAACTCTTGTCGAAGGACTGACACATTGTCCATGCGCTTGGTAACCACAGTTTATACAGAACAAAATATTGCCTACTTCACCAGGACAGTTGCAAGTACTGCAAAATGCTAGGAATGAAAAACATTGCATTGGTTTATAAAATCTCTACTTCGCGCAAGACAGGCTCTTTGGCTGACGGACCGACCGACAAATGACCAATTGACCGACTGAATGACACATTGGACACAAATGTTTGCACTCTCATGCAGAAAACTAGTGATTTTATCTCAAAATTATAGTGAATACTTACCTATGTTTTGCAAAACCTGAGGATGGTCCAAGCAGTATGCCTTCAAGCTGCGTACATTCTGTTAGGAAAATGAAATTAAAAATGGACATAAAATCCAATTGGTGTTTTTACAGATATAGTTTTCATTGCTTCCAAATCTTTGCCTTACCGTAATGCAATTTATAGAATATGAGTACATGGAAGGTGATTAACTTCATTTATTTTATTAGTGTTTTCTTTAACAATTTTAGTAAGAATTCTACAAAGTTTTTAAAAAAAGCATTTCTATATAGAAATAAGTAGAATACCCAAATAGACAATATCAAGCACGAACGAGACAAAGTCCCATGCAAGGTGCTTACAATTCTAAAATTACACAAAACAATAAAATAGAACACAATACAATACAATACAATGCAATACAATACAATACAATACAATACAATACAATACAATACAATACAATACAATACAATACAAAACAGTACAAACATCAAACATAATTATTTACTAAGTTCCATAACATGGCCAGTCACGCACTAATGACCATGTACATGGCATTTCTATGTCGAACATTGTCCCCAAGCAAGTGTTTATACGTGCTTCTAATGTTTCTTTTAAACGAAAAGAGGGTGGCGAAGGTGGTAGGAGGTAGAACTTTACAGGTATAGTTCCATATTTTAACTAGTTAACATTTTGAGTTTTTGACAACCTTCGGAACACTTGACATTCTTGACACCAGGTTCGCAAGGCAAATTTCAGTAAGGGTGACGCATGCCCAGACGATTTCCCGCGGTGTTTACTATGTCTGGTTCGTTTCTTTCATTGGTTTTAATACACCCTTCCGGACAGTACTTAACCTTGGCCATAGAGCCTCGTTTTCGTGCTTGAGATATTAGGTTTAGAATCTTTCATCTTGCCACAGCCGATACATTTACGAAATTACAAAGTTATATTAGATAATACAAAAGACCGTTATATAATTAAACAATAAGCCGATATCTGAATCCCAAAAACGAGGCTCTGTAGCCATGGCTAAGTTGTTTCCGGAACGGTGTATTGAGCATACCTGGTAAACTCCAGCTGCTACTGCGCATGGCAAATGAAACACGTTGTTACAATGAGGAACTGCACAACAGACACTGGCACCATAATGCTTACACCAAGTACAAGCCTGTATAAAATAACAACTGTTTAGTGAAATATTGCTGATTTAACAGTTCACGAACAGTTTAACTATATCAGTATACTTATTTTGCTCCAAGGAGTGAATAGTTTAAACAGTCTCAAATCCATTGGATTTGATAAGAATGAACTGACATTCACAGAGAGTGATAACGCTTCAACGGATTTCGCTTCATTGAAGTTACTGTAGTTCCACTCTTCAGGGCACTTCTAGACGCCCTCTCTTCTCCGCCCTCACTAAACGCCTGCTACGCAGGCTAGGGCACCTCAGACAGATTTTTGTTACTAGGACGCGAGAATATCTCACGCACTTAAGCATGGGTTTGAATTTGTACCCTCACCAATTGACTCGATAGAGCAATTAGTACAGCGTTCCAGTAGATATAGACCCGCGTTTAATCAACTTTATGTTCGATAATATTAAAGCTTGGGTTTTATTATGAAGATATGGAACTAACTGCTTAAACGTTAAATTCTGTTCTGTACCCGGTGTAAATTATTACAAGAGTTACCGTGGCAATTGCCTTTCCCACGAGGTTAGTCACCGAAAGCTTCTCTTCACTATTAGCAGTTGCTGCTGTCCATGTTGCACATTTTTCATGTACCCACAAGTCACCACGAGCATCACAAATTTCTGACAGAGTTTTCTTCTTATCATAACCAAACTGAGACAGCGTGTCCTCGCTCGGTGGTGATATTAACTGGTCACCAGTCTCTTCCCAACTGTTTGTTCTGCGCCGTTTGTGAGCACGTTCAAAATTCCTGTGGGACAAAAAAATTAGGACATGAATATTGACGAACTAATAAAGAGGCTAATAAGCTGTCTTTAACGAATCAACAGTGTGGTTCGGTTACACTAAAGAAAGTTGTATCATATTCTTGTCATTATTATTCTTGAGGCTTTCAATGCTGAATGTCCAATAACAACAAAATCAACAATTACATTACTCTTAATGATCTAATGTCCACCTTCTAATGAACGCCCTGTATGTAGTAGACGCCCAGGTCAAACTAGAATTTTGTAATAGACGGCCCTCTCTGTTAAACGTCCCTTATCTAATACACAACCCTCCCTGAATATTAATTCCTACTTTTGTCTGTTTAATTAAGTTCAGTCATGGATCATAAAAAACATTTCCATGGTTCAGAATAGTTTAGTTTAGTCGGAAAATGACATCTCTTTAGAGTATATTTCCATACCTGACACTAGCGTGTACACTATCATGACTGGCTGATCTCTTCAACATGGGATATCCTGATCTACTATGATCATCCAACATTCTATCATTACTAAAAAGTTGATTATGCATTCCAAAACTCTCCCGTTGTTCCCCTGAAGAATAACAGTCTTCGTAGAAACGAGCAAACTGAATGATCTTTCCTTGTCCAAACACGCTCCGACCATCATTATTGCATAAACAGCAACAAACACTAGAATAGAAAGATACGACTGTTCAGTACACGCTCACAGTATATTAGGGGCTTCTTGCATGAGGAATTTTGGGCCGGACTGAAACTTTCTGAAATGTGCAGGTGTAGAATACTTCAATGCAATGCTTGAAAGCAATTTCGAGGATTATTTTGTAATCAATGGTTTCCGCAGGGTGTAAGAGTTTTAACTGACTATCTTAAGGTCCATTCAAACGAGGCCAACATATTAGTAGGGTTGGGCGATATTAAAAAAATCATCTCACGATTATTGTCAAGGAAATTATCACGATATTCGATAATATCGCGATAAATGAAATAAAAACAATGATTAATTTTAATTAATATCAAGCTGGATAGTAAGCGTATATATAATCTAATGTCCACTGTGTCCTCGCTGTTTCGCCTGCAATTTCATTTCATTTTATCGTATTAAATTCGTATTTAATTCAGGAAATAGTTTTAATTCTTTTAAAAACTATATTTTCAAGGAATTGAAAGAATTTTTTAGGATTTCATAAAAGCTATATATACATGCGAAGCAACATCACAATAGTCATCGAGCATGACGATAATTTCGATATATCGTCGCTCAAGTTTCTACCTTCGATACGATAATCGCGATCGAAAATATCGCGATAAATCAAAATATCGAAATATCGCCCAACCCTACATATTAGTGGTCTTCCACCAACATTGTTGGATGCAAAATTGTTGGCCTCGCTTGCACACTATGTGAGGTAATGCTGGTTGATGTTGGAAGATGTTGGATTTGTTACTCGATACTAAACACGTTGTTTTATAACTTTTATCGTTTTATTTAATGTATAGAATCGCTTTAAAACTGTTTATAATACTAAGATATAATCTAGAATAACAATAGTTCAATCGCAACGTTTGTTGAACGTTTCTGAGCACGCGAGGCGCGCCGCTGGTCGCTCGTACCAGTCTCTAAACTGTTCGCATATATTATCGTTCATTACGGTATCACTCTGCCCTCCTCATTGAATGCCATCCATGACATGTGCGGATCTTTCTTATCTTATCATTTACAGGTATTTCTCTAGAATTGTTGATATCTTCTATCTACGACACCTGGGCTGGTTGATCAGACACAACCCCTTAACTCTATCAAACCTATCTACTACTCATGCGCGCATACTCATTCTACATATAGATCCGTTTTTCCGTAACCTCAGTTACGATACACGTTCCTCCATAACTATGGATTCTTAACGACAAAAGTACAATGTTTTTCTAATAATATAATTTAGAATGTTCCCGATATCTAAAACGCAAACATTGGCTGGTTATGGTACATTTGAGGGTAACCAAACGATAGTGGAGTTGGTGGATAACCAAATGGTGGTGGAGTTGGTGGGTAACCAAACGGTGGTGGAGTTGGTGGGTAATTAAACGGTGGTTGAGTTGGTGGGTAACCGTAAAATAGGTGCGGTTGTGGTGGTATGAAGCCGTATGTCTGCATCATTCCAACGGTGGGGTTTTGACATATATTGAACACACCAGTCGCCGGATTTCCGGGTGTGTTATATCCACAACGTGATGGCGGCTGTCGAACTCGTTGTGGTCGTGGATAAAATCTAGCAGTTTCTTCGCCGTTATTTCCCGCTTGGATCCCATTTTCAGGTTCATTCGACGTCGATGGGGTTTGGGTGATTGGGTTCTCCGTTGTAATCTCACCTGTAGTATTCTCTGCTGTGAGATTTTGTTCTTCCACTGTGGGGTTTCCGTCTTGTTCTCTTGTCTCACTTGGTGTCACTGCATTTCTCTCGGTGTCTTCGAACGTTTCACTGTGCTGTGACTGTTGTGTGTTCAGTTCTTTCATATCATTTGGCAGTGCAGATGGTCTCTCCTCTCCCTCCGAATCTGAATCTGTGTCAACTTGTTCGTCATTTGCAGAAAACTGTTTTCTCGGTTTTAGCTTCTCTCTTCCTTCACTTGTTTCACTCTTCTTCGTTTTGACCGATTCGTTAATTTGTACGCCGTGGTCTGGTGGGAGGTAATCACTGGGTAATAACAGGTTGCGGTGTAGTGTTCTTATTTTTCCACGTCCAGATTCTGACTTTATGTCATAGACAGGGCTTTCAGGGCCTTTTCGGGACACTACTACATGGATTTCGTCTTCCCAGAATCCTCGAAGTTTTCCTGGACCTCCGCGTGGAGTAAGGTTTCTCACCAGTACACGATCACCTGGAGAAAGGACTGTTGATCGAATACGTTTGTTGCTTTGCTTCTTCCCCTTCTCCGCGGCTTGCTGAGCTGATTTTGAAGCTAGGTTGTACGCTTCCTCCATCGCTGTCTTCCATTTTCTTACGTAGGCTGGATATCCCGTTACTTCTTGTTTCTCTGGCAAGTTGAACATGAGATCAATGGGGAGACGTGGCGTCCTACCAAAGAGTAGCAAGAATGGAGAATACCCGGTAGCCTCGTGTCTCGTACAGTTGTAAGCGTGGATTAGTTTATTAACATGGTCCTTCCAGTTCGTTTTGTATTGTCCAGGCAGGGTGCGCAACATATTCAAAAGGGTCCGGTTCATTCGCTCAACCTGTCCATTCCCCTGGGGGTGGTAGGGAGTCGTTCGTGAGTGGGAAATGTCAGAGAGTTGTTCTAGTTTCCAGAAAAGCTTATTCTCAAACTCTCCACCCTGATCATGATGGATTCGAGAAGGGTATCCAAAACGTGGGATAAACTCGTTGTAGATCTTTTCAGCAGCGGTGTGGGCTGACTTGTTTCGAGTTGGGTAGGCCTGAGTGTATCTCGTGAAGTGATCGACTATAACAAGTATGTACTCATACCCTCCCGAACTGCGTTCCAGATGTACGAAATCTATGGATACCAATTCGAATGGAGCTGTCGAGGTGATTGACTGTTGTGGTTCTCTGGTGTTGACACTTGGTTTCTTTTGTTTCAGGCAACGACAAACATGGTTGATGTAATGGTCAATGTCCGTCCTCATACCAGGCCAGAAAAATCGTTCTCTAGCTAGAGCAAACACGCGTTCCGTTCCAAGGTGTCCCATTTCCTCATGGAGGTCATGGTACACCAACCGTCTATACTGAAGCGGCAATACAATCTGTTGGCCACGATACAAGATGGCGGTTTTCTTCTCCACGTGTAATTTACTCAACTCTCGAAGGTGTCTTTTCACTTCCCG